GAGAGGAAATATATTCCTCTAAGCGCCATTATGGTCTTCCTTTCTATGCTTTTCCAGAGCTCTTCTGCTTTCTTTTACTAGCAAAGTAGTCATTAACACGTACGTGCGTTCTTGCCCATGGCATGGCATTCTAGCTGATAGAATACTCCGCTCTTGCAGCAATCTCCCAGCTTACCGTAACATTCGACGGTATTGGGCCTTTTGCAAGCTCGTCATATAACCTAAGTTGCCTTTTGATAATATTCTGAGAAATATTTGTATGGACGACATCCTTTTGCAACGCGCTTGCATAGGTATGATTTAAGTGCGGCGTTCTATGTCGACAGTGGACGGTAAACATAATACTTTGATACCAGCATTTCTCTTTGCGTTCATAGATGTTCTTATAGAAGATTTGGTTTGCAGCGAATAACCATTGTTGTTACTGGATAGCATATTGCATCATATCCCCGCTCTACTGCATTTTGGACTCTAGGTTTTCTCACTTTTACAATGCAAACACTGACTGCTGCTACAAACTTACCGATTATTGCACCTTGAGCAGTAGGGAGCAGATTTCTCGTGAAATAATGTTCATGCAGCTCTAAATCATTTATGGACCTCTTCATTAACTAGCATCAGGATGTGGTAGCCAATTGTCACCTTTTTACGGTAGGTTTAATGTATTGCGATTCTGGCCATGTATTCTGGAACATACATCGATTTCCGATCGAGTTGATGTAACTATGCCGAAGTCATCAATGAAATGGTAGTACATCAGAGGACGTTGCTTTATTTCGCCGCCCAATCTTATACCTCTATACTATCTTTTGAACTCCGCGTGCATTCATTTCCATACTGGTGGCATGCGTGAAACAACTCAGAAGGTATTTGAAGGGCCTCATTGTTAGACACGTGTCAATGACAACACGTCAAATGACTCCATAGCACAACTTTGGTCGAAATTCATCACGTAAATATCTACGGAACAGTTAGTGTTGGACCTATGGAGAAGAACTCTTGTCAAAAGCTGACTGAGAACAATATTCAACAATCAAGATATGTATTGGTTCCTGAGTAACCTTGCCGGCCAATTTTGATTGGAAAGAGGAGGGTAGACTATGACGGCGTCGATATAAATAGAGATATATTCCTCCAACGCTAGGATTTTACTTTTTACAGTAAAATCAACGCCATCACGGTCT